AAAAGGACTCAGATCTGCCTCCAGTGCTGCCGCTGTCACCCAGTTCAGTGACATTGTACTATGTGCCAGACAGTAATCAAATGCGATTAAAACAGTGCTATTTTAATCATATTTGATTAGTGGACAGTGGATGTGACAGGGTTTTGAGCATCCAAGCGCACCGGGTGGCTGTTGGGGCAGCACCTGCAGGCAGCAGATGAAGGCAGAGACCCCCTCTCTCTGTGCTGGGTCAGGCTCCTGCCCAGGGAGTTCAGTGTTGTGGGGAGATGCACAGGGGATGGCCCAGCAGCCCTGCTCTGTGCAGGGTGGGCTGCAAAGTCTCAAAGGCCCCTGCTTAAGCAAGGCTGAGGTATCTGAGATTATGTTGAGATGGAACAGTGAGGAACCACCAGAACAATCTACCAAGAGCCCTGCTTGCTGCCTGCAATGGCAGGCTGGCACTGGGCATCCTTCCAGCCAAAGGCAGGATTTTCAATAGACACAGTATGGGAAGAGGTGACCCTGGACACCTACCTTCTTCATGGGAGGTATGGTTTAGGGGACAAATATTTTGATGGGAAAGCATACTGATCAGCTTTGCATTAAATTTCCCTGAGGTGGGGAGGGGGAATCGCAGATTTGGTCCTATCGACCAGCTCTACTGCAAAGCCTCTGCTCCATGCAGTGAGAGCAAGGTCAGTCCCAACCATCCCCCAGACATACAGCTACAACGGTCCTCATGTCCCTCCTGCCAGGTCTGGCTTATTCAGGAACAGCCAAGAGACCAAGCACACCCCGAGCATAGGAATGAGGTATGTGATTTATTAACCTTCCCCAACTCAGCACATCCAAGTGAGGCATAAAACAGCTTTCTATGGATTCAAGATCAGCTCACTTGGAGGGTCGCCAGCCCTGGGAACTGCTGGCTTTAAACAAAAAAGGGGGTGACAGTAAGAGGCACTGGGGGGATGTGAGTTACAGGGAGCAGAAGAGAAATGGTTCTGCAACCTCACAGCCCAGAGCAGGAGCAGACAGGGATTTTAGCCTTCACAAAACTGGGGAAAAAATTCTCAGGGTTAGGTATGGTGCCCAAGGGGAGCCAGAATCAGACTTGAAAGGGAAAAGCTAAGGACGGGCTTGGCAGTGGGGACCTTCTCCAGGGGGAGACCATGCTGAGATGCTGGTGTGGTAGTTCCTCATGCTCTGTCTGGTTGAGGATCCCTCCACACACACAAAGACACACCTTCTCCCTCTTTCCTTACTGTCCTGGTGCTGGGGAATTGTGCCTGCCTTGCCACATGTTGGAAAGGCAACTGTTGAGAACTGGTGGGCTCATTGCAGGAGTGACTCCTGAGAGGTTTCTGAGATTCCTGAAGGGTGTAGCTTGGCTCATCAATCCCTCTCCATCCAGGTCAGGCTTGGAGGTGACTCATTATCTTCACCTCTGGACCTTGGTTGTGGCTCAGCATGGACCTAGAGCTAAAAGCCAGCCCCCATCACCCCTGGGGAAGGGACTGGAGGCTGGAGAGGTGCAAGAGGTGCCCAAAACTCCTGCCAGTGCAGGAGGAGAGTCAACAGGAGACAAGGATGGGATGGGATGGGACAGGAGTGTGTGTGGAAGGCAGAGAGGGGTGGGGGGCCTCTCTGGGGGTCAGGGCTTGGTGGTGCTGAGCTGGGTTCCATTGGCTGTGGGGTCAGAGAGGGCAGTTTTCCGGCAAGCAGTCAGTGAGGGGTTGTTGAGGAGTGTGTAGGCCAGCCACCAGCGGGCTCGGCTCTGCTTGAACCTGGCTCTGCTCAGAGGTGCCTTCTTGGGCTGCATCAGCTGGATGCCTGAAAGGACATGGGAAGGGGGGAACAATTTCAGCTCCAGCTCCCCTTCGCTGGAGCTGCCCAGGTGCCATCCACACCCTGGGGCAAAAGCACAGGGGTCCCATCCTGCCCTTGCATGGGCAGAGGAATGGGAGCAGCTCCTGGGATGGAGATGATCACATGCCAAGCAGAGGTAGCATAAAAGTGAAGAGGGCACCAGAGCCACAACCCTCAATGGTCCCTTTATCCCAAGGCACCACCAGCATCTCTAGAGGAGCAGCAAACCCACAGAGGAGACCCTGATGACACCCCACAGCGATGGCGGTGTATCCCTCCGGGTTGTTGGTGGGGAGGTCCTACCTTCTTCCACATTGCTGGCCCGGAGCCCCGGCAGCCCCTCTGGCCTGGCTAGCTGGAGGAGCAGCAAGCAAAAAGCTTTCATCACCGGGTGGGACTGGCTGACCTCGATTTTCAGATAGTGGCAGTAAGTGTGGTAGCCTGGGGAAACACAGCCCACAGTAAATGCGTGTGGCGGGGCCAGACTTTATGATTCCCCCCTCCCTCCTGCCCTTGAGCAAAGGGGAGGGTTATTTGCCAGGGTCCATATCTGTCCTGCCAGAGCTGCTTTGCCTTCAGAGCTGGAGATGAGCTCCACTCCCAAAATCCCAGCAGGAAAAGCAGAGGAAGGGCTAAGGTCTCCTCTCCCTGCTGCCTTTAGCACAGGAGAGGTGAGGGTCTGCTGCACACAGGAATGGGGTCGGGCCACTGGTGAAGCCCAAGGGACCCCAGAAGGGCATCACCCACGCTCAGGGATGGATGGAAAAGCAGGATTGTGCCAGCATCAGGACAAGTCCCTTGCCCCAGTTATCGAAAGTGCCCATTTCTGAACATAGGTGGTTTGAAGCCACCCTCAGTCCTGGCAGCTCCAGGTGATGGAGGAGCTCCAGGCCATGTCCCCCAGGAGCTCAGTGGTGGGAGAAGGGCCCCCATATTCAGAGGTGCTGCAGAGATACCCCCTCCATGTCCTACCTGGGTCAAAGGTCTCCACACCACG